GAGGAGGGAAATAATGTCAATTTTGACATTATTCAACATTATGCCACAAGTGCTGTCAATTGAACCCATAATATTCTTATAATACATGTTCTTGCTCATATTGTGCACTATTCATCATTATTTCAATGAGAGAAAACATTTTTGTATTCTTTCATCAAAATAATGAAAACAATTTTCCTGTGTTTTCAATCAATCAGTGAGCCACAGAAGTAAAATGGGATTTGTTTACTTGAAATTCTTTTAAATGCATTTATTTCTACATGTCATTTCATAATGAAATTATATTTAGATATGGCTTATTCTTTCTAAACTTATCTCATACAGGTGTATGGCTGTTTGTACGATGCATGAATGTGAGAACGTGTGAGATAGAGCTCCCAGTGAGAGCTTTGTGAAACTGTGTAGGTCTGGAGGACTGCCAGTGTCGAGATGGATTCGTTGGGTGTCAAAAAACATTGACGTACAAATGAAGAGAAAGTGCTTTTGGCCGGTGGACGTTTCGCTGCAAACAGAGAGAAGCTGCACATCTGCATGAGACAGAGATGCAAAGCTCACAGGCGGAGATAAATCCCTCTCGGCTGTAACCAAAGTGCCACCTACTGGATGCTCACAAACAACATGCACATCCAGACTTTCTTGCTCTCTTATATTCGGAAATTTGCTTTTAGCTGGAGCCAGTTCGAGGGAAGTTGCCTGAGAAGGGGTCCTGGGCTTTGTTTAAAGGGGAACTGCTTGAATAGCTCAGCAGATGCTGGCTTAAGTTTTGGCTTGGAGGCGCAGGGGTTTTGTTTGCATTTTCCAGGCATATCTTCCCTTTCCATACCCTGCCAAGAACATGAGATCAGTGCCTGGTCTGAAATAGCATATGAAATATATAATGTAAGCCTGGCTATTAAATCGATGAGACGATTGGCTGCAACATAAAGCCCTGTTGCTGCTTCTTACAACTTGGCCACGCTAGAAGCAAAATGGGATTTTCTCTTAAAATGGCCTGCCCTGACAAGAGAGATGAAGTTTTAACGGTTTTAAAGTCTCCATTGAAGAGCGTGATGTCTGCTCGCCACTTCGACTGAAGACAGCCCATTTTCCATGTGGATTTGAACAGGCAGTTTAGGAGCAGACGTTGACCTGTGGTGGCTCAATATGTCTGTGCTGATTTAGGGTACACGTAAAAGAAGCAAATAGGCACATGTCTGCATGTTTTCCAAATCGGCGGTTTTGGTCTGTTTCGGAACAGTGGCTCGAATGGCTTTTATTATTTTATTTTATTTTATTTCCTGATTCTTTTTCTGGCCTTTGACTTTGTTTCACAACTTACTTTGGAAAGAATGAAGTGGCGGTAAAGTTTAGGGCATACTTTGTCTTAATGTTACTTGCCGGTATTCTCTGCTGTGTCATCCTAGAGCATAATTAGCGATTTGCTAAGACAAGCATTGCTATTACTATTACAATTGTAGAAGCAATCTTAAGTGCTATTTTTCTGATTTAAAATTGTGATTTAAAATTGTATTTATTTCAAATTGTGACTGATGTCTATGTCTAGTATGATTTTAATAATAATAATAGTTATAATTATTGTTATTGTTATTACTCAATAAAAAAGTAATATAAATACACTATACATTGTAATGGGGGAAAAAAGCTGAGGCTACGTTTACATGACAACAATGTAGTCAAAAACGAAAAAGTTTTTCCCTTGCGTTTTTAAAAATGTTCACATACACACGACAGCGTTTTCAAAATGATTCACGTTTACACACATCCGCGAAAACGGCCAAAAATGCTGTATTACGTATGCCAGGCCAGTAAGTGGCGCTGTCACCTTGTTAGTAAACAGTACCTGTAGGGAAGTGACGATTATATGTTGTATATGGCGCGTCTCTGCTGTTGGTTGTAATATTGGTGAAGTAAATCCACACTTTGCTGAAGAAGCATTAGCAAACTCTTGAGCAGCAACAACAGTTCCATGTACTCCGCCATTGTTGTATATGTTTGTTCACGCTTGCCTTTAAAATCGACACGTACTGCGCATGTCTACTCTACATACCCTAACACATACTACGCATGCGCATGATGTCACCCTTTTCAAAAATTCCCGTATTGGGTGTTTACTCAGAAACGATGCACTTTTTCAGTCCCCAAAACGCCGTTGTCGTGTAAACGAACAGGCAAAACGCATAAAAAGTTTCCCGTTTTTACCTGAAAACGTTGTCGTGTGAACAGCCCCTGAGTAGCTAAGAAAAAAATAGTTGTTGTTGTTTTACTTTACAGTACAGCTATAAAATTACAATATTAATACTTAATTTTAAAATGTTATTAACTATTCTTTTGCTTTTGTTCTTGCAGCCCTTATTTTGATTAATCATGGAGCCTTACTAACCCATAACCTTTAATAAAAACTTCTTGTGATTTACAAAACACCCTAGTAACTGCATAGCAACATGATAAAAACTGTCCAAACACCTTAGCAACCACAAATCAGTGTACTAGCAACCACTATAGCATGTGTGCACTATAGCATGTATATATGTGGCGGCAAGCCAGTTAGCCAACTGAATGTGTTGAGAGAACTAAAGAATGTAGTTTAGGCCTGACTTTTGTCTTATTGTTACGTCCCAGCATCCTCTGCTGTGTTGTCTTGAAGCGTAATTAGCCTTTTGCTAAGACTAGCATTATTATTACTATTATTTCACGCCAATAACGCTAAGTATAAACTTCCTTTGACTTGGTTCAGTAAGAAACTAGCCAAAACATTGTAGCAGCTGCGTAACAACATGCTAAAAACACTCAGAACACCTTAGCAACCACTAATCAGTGGCCTAGCAACCACTCTAGCCTTGTAGCGGCAAGATTTGTGTGAGCAAACCAATCATATTTAGTTTTTATAATGATCTCAAAGTACTCAGCTTGGCTGGATGAAAATAAATCCGATGAATCATCATTTTCGAATAATTAGCATTTAACTAACTGTTTCTTCTGGTATTTAGTTCATATACCTGACTGTATGTGTTAAGAGTTTCCTTTTTGTTACGGTATGTGTTTGAGATTCAGGCCTGGTGTTGTCATCCTGCAGAGGGCTTGCGCTCACCTTGTTTTAATAAACACCTCCTCGTGTAGAAAGCGCCAGAGAGGGGCCACTCTCTGAACAACACTGCCTGCTCCGCAACTCAAGGGGCAACATAACTGCAAACAGTGTTGCAGGGCAAACACACACACACACACACACCCCACCGACACCAAATAAATGTGACACAGTTCCGCAGGTGCATCCAGCCCCTTCACTTAAGCCAAAGTGGCTTGCCGGCCAGATTTATGGCCCTGACATAGGAATCCATTAAAGCCTTTTGGAGGATTCTAGGCCTGAACCCCCTGTAATCGCTTTCATAATAGCTGCCGGCTACTAGCGAGTGGGGCAATCAGTGACCAACATGTGTTCCTGTTTATTCCAATGGCAAAGTGTTCGGTACACACATCTCTTAGCTATTTTTATGGACAGGGTGGCCGTTAACCCATTCGGCAGGTAGCGATACCCAAGATGGCAAGAAGCTTCTTGGCCGAGCCATTACGGCGAGACTTGACCAGTTGATCTGATCCACCCGTCCGGTTGGCAACGTAGCGTGACGTTTTTCTCGCGCCTCAGCCTCTGTAAAAGGGCTTTGGTTTAGTAACTCGCTTTGATAATGTGGCAAACGGCAGTTTATGGGCTACTTTAGTGAGTGCCGGCGTGTTTGCGTGTGCGTGTTCGCGCCGTGGATGGCTAGTTAATGGCAAACCCTAAAGCCTGGGGCCGCAGCATGAAGCTGTGCCCTATAATGCTTCAATTCTTTAATTTGCCAATTAAACGTGTTACGCAGGTGTGTTATAAAAGCCAAGGGATTAGCAGAACGAGCACCTACGTCGGGGACAGGAATTAATGTTGTCGCTCTGTAATGGGGACATGAGATGCAAAGTTTCTTTCAGGAAATGTGTTGCTTTAGTAGATTAGGTGGGATTTTAACATGTCGATCTTCTGTTTTAGCATCAAAATCCAAAGTCGTCTCCACACATGAGCCTGTGTTTTCCAGATGGATATAACGACAACAATGATGACACAGCCAGCAGGTAAGGGTTTCAATTCTATTACAGTATGTTTTTCAAACCTTTTATGGGTAAACACCATCCATTCGTCAAGGCAACACTGCCCTCTGGTGCTTTTTTCCCTCCCACATGGCTTTTGAGTTGACAACGTACGTGTGTGTGTGTGTGTGTGAGCAGAATATCCTCTGAGGACAGCGGGGAGGTGGCGTCATACAATGAGGACAGTGATGACTCTGATTTAGAGTTTCAGTCTGAAGTTAGTCAAACGGGCCAGATGAACCTGCTGGAGGAGATTTTGGACTCTCTCAGTACATCCCACATTGAACAAGGGCGACTGTCCGCTGCCAAGAGCCTGGACTTTTTCAGATCAATCGAAGACCTGGACTACAATTCCACGGTGAGGGATGCCTTTTATTTATTCATTCATTTATTATTTTAATTATTTATTATTTCAATTATTTAAATATTTTGACTTTTTTTATTTATTGCTAATTGGTATAATTGATATTTATTTATTAATTAAATATTTTACATTATTTTTAAAATTATTATTTATATTATTAATTTTGAAAATGCATTTATTTGTATTATTTTATTATTAATCATTTTAATTGAATTATTCCAAGATTTTACTATTAGATTATTAGAAAGATTACCATTTTACTATTAATTTTTTTAAATAATTTTTTTCTATTATTATTATTATTATTATTTAGTTTGTTTTAATTATTTAGTTTATTTAATTTTATTTTTATAAAACAAAAATAATCTTTTAAAATTGTATTAAAATCTTGGAAACTTAATAGGAAATGACTAGAATTTTAAGAGGGTTTTTTCCCAACATGAAATAACTATTGTTACCATTAAATTTTACTATTTTACTAACCATTGTTAAAGTGCCCCTATTATGGGTAATGAAAGGTTCATATTTTAGTTTTGGGAGTTCCCAACAACAGGTTGACATGCATACAAGGTCAAAAAACACTTTCGTCCGATTGGTCGGTCTTAGGTTGGTCCGATTGGTCTCATTTTCATTTCATCTCGCCTGTAATGCCTTATAAAGCAGGGTTTGTGAGCACAGTGCTGCTTTGTGTACAGCGTTACCGGGGAAACTGTTATTTTTACCGCTCCAAAAGCGCCACCTAGTGGCAAAGAATGAATTTGCATTTTCATTCAGACCAACGCAAGTGAGCAGGCAATATGCTAATGTTTCATGTTGACGTCAACATGAAACGGCTTGGGATTCGTTTTAAAAACGACTCGTTTCAATGATTCAGAGTCAACTCTTTCTTTTGAGAGACAATAACTTTATACACGGTGCACTTTCATATTTAAAACTTTGCAGGATGTTTTCATTCACTTAGAGCTGTGTTACACACTGCATGAAAGGTAATTTTCAAAAATCCATAATAGAGGCACTTTAACATTAGATTTTACTATTAGATAGATTTAGAAGATACTATTATTAGTATATAGGGTACATTTTGATTTTATGTTGACTTCAGTGCTTTGTAGATGAATGCGTGCATGAACAACGGCATGGCCTTGTAAGCATGTCATTTGTACTGTTTCCAGAAAAATTGCAAGTCCCCACTGGGAAGTAGTCCTGCTCAGGCTGGTTGTGAAGTAGGAAACGGCGAACAAGGTGGATGGAATATGGGTCAAGATGACAGCGCCGTCCACGGTAAGCATCTCCCACCTTCTCCTCGACGCCAACCCAGCTCCTGTTCCCTTCCTGTCTGTCCTCCCCTTCCCAATGACGTCGCCAATGAAGAGGCCTCTGAGAACCCGAGAAACACTCTCCCTGAGACACCCACAGTTCAACTCTCGCTACTCTGCGACATTGACAGACCCACTAGTTCCCAGCTGAGCCCAGACAACCAGCCGCCAACAGGCCGCAGCCTCTCCCGACAGAAGGTCCTTTCCAGAAAAACCCAGAGGCCCTCTCAGGAGCATGCCCCGCAGAAGGCATCAGGCAGACAACCTTCAGTCCTCGTTCCGTGGGAGAGGGAAAACCAGCCCCAGGAGACAGATATGGAAGCAAGAGGGAATGAGACTCAAGAGAAAGGCTTGCTAGAAGAGATCGAGTCCATGTGTCACATCAGCATGGCCCTCAAAAGCAACCAGGAGCTCACACACATTGAACACAACACCAGCCTGGACGAATCCTGAGAAAACGGCAGAACACTCAGATCTAACCTTTCTCTTTTCATATTCACGCTATCCTCTGAAGTCACACCAGCACTCATTGCATGAAGTGTTTGCAAAGGTGTTTTGTAGTTAATGTGAATGATCGGTCCTCTTATTTCTCACATTCGGTCCGAAACAAACGGTATCTTTCAGAACTGGTGGTTGGAAAGGACGAAAATAAGGTTTAAAGGGATTTATGTCAGCATTCATCATTCAGTTTTATTTAATTCAGCAGATGATTTGCACGTGCATAGTTTCAAATCACTGTTTTGATAAATCACTGTGGATGAGGGACAGACTTCTCCCTGTATATTTTACTAAACCGTACGAAAGTATTTAAATAGCCAGCCAATCTCAGCTTAATATAATGCCTTAAACAGATTTAATTTGTATTTCCTGACTGTGCCATTGTAGCTGGCTAGCTTGCTAATTACTATCACTATCTTTTGCATGAAACACATCTTATAAAGAGATATTTATCTTGGCCAGGTGGACAACTGGTTTTCAATTTGCTATATTTTTTAAGAAAAAAAATATTTTTTCAAGACAATTCTCAGGTTTATGCTTTTATCCAAGATGAGATGTTAGCATTTTAATTTCATCCAAAAATGACAAAAATCCCAATTGTTTTTTTTAAGGACTAATAATCTTAGAATATAGATTTTTTTCTTTCGCAAAGTGTGAAAATACTGGTGCTGCCAATGCCCAGTGCAAAGGGGGATACTTGTTACTGATAAATAAATGTGTTTTAAACCCCTTATTATCCTCTTATTCTATACGAAGGCCCAAAATATACTCCATGCAGTTACAAGAACACAAACGCTTCTATCTAGCAGGCACAATTTCACACAAAGTTGTGAAATTTCTAACGTAACACGTACATGTTGCATTCTCAGTGTTGCCACAAGGGGTGCAGTATCAGTTGCTAGTAAACTAGATGAAATTGCATACTGTCTGAGTAGCTATTGTATCTTATGAAGAACGAACTTCGTAACCTTCAACGAGTCTGTTCTCTATAATACGAATGTGTGTAGTATAAATTAAATGTTGCCATTTTGTTATTGTGACTTACAACGTTTGCGTCGCTTCACTGCCATTCGTGACTCCTCTTCCATGGCCTCAAGGGATAGTAAACGATCCATTGAATGTGCACTTCAAAATATTGCCAGAAGTAGTGAGTAATTGGGTACTTTTTGCCTACAGTTTTAGAAATAGCATAAATTCAGTTGTACTACTCTTTTCACGTACCGTTTTTTGCCTACTATAATAGTAGGGAAGTAGCCATATTCAGATGCAGGGTGTCTTCATCTATGGCCAGTTTTCTCTTTCACCTCAACTACTATCATGGGGGTTTGATGTGAACCAAGACCTCTAGCTAGCTACCTGAATTGCTAACTCATACGGTTTAGTAGAACAGACGTTTGCATGTAACTAGCCTCCTTGAATACTGACATTTGCAGGTTAAAGCGCAACAGAACTGCTTTCCGATCGTTTTAGTTAGAGAAAGATTTGCCTCGCCCCCTGTTTCACTCATATCATTCATATCAGCTGTGGACGTCACCTTCAAAGCTGTACTGCTACACCAAACAGGAAGTGGTCATTAGATCCAGCACTTGTTTCTTTAGTGGCTGATGAATTGTTTAGGCTGTTGAGCAGAGTGATTTAGGACACGTGCCATTCTGTCGGACACTTTAATGACTCTCCTCTCCCCTCCTGCGTAATCTGCTGTGGTAACGATATGGCTGTAAAAGCATTCAAAGTTTAGGACCCCTGTCTCAAGCTAGGCTTCTTAACGTAGCGGTTTAACTCAAAGCTGTCCTGAAACTATGCTTCAGCCTTTGAACAAATCAGATGTGCTGATGAACTATGCAAATTCCCAATCAGTGTTATATGCTCGGTACCCACAAAACATGCAGGACATGTGGTTGGAGTAAAAATGTCAACACTGATGGTACATATATGAAAAATAAATAAATAAAAGGTGAAATGAAAGATGCCATGCTTAAATAGCTATTCTATGGAAGCTTGTTTCCGCCACAGGTAAAAAAAAATAAAAAAAAAATGGTAATTGTGACATTTTATCTCACAATTCTGATACAAAAGTCAGAATTGCAAGATATAAACTCAAAATTAAGAAATATAAACTCCCAGTTCTGAGAAAATAAAAGTTAAAATTGTGAGAAACTTGCAGGGAAAAAAGTAAGAATTGTGAGATAATGAATAATAATAATTGGCTTCTTTTGGTCTGTGGCAGGAAAAAAAAAATCGAGACGTTAACTCAAAATTGCAGTGTAAACTCATAATTTTGAAATGTAAACACGAAATTGACCCTTCAGTTTGATTGACAGGTGATCTGACCAATCATAACACTAATCTGTCATTTTGTCCAACAAACAAACCAGATAGGAGAGTAGATTAACGATGGTGGACTTGAACTTGAAAAATGGTATCGGTTTGGTTTCCACGGTTGAATAACTAGTAAAAAGGAAGAGATGATCGGTTCACGTGCCGCTTGAACGGAGGCGCTACAGCGATCTGTCACAACACATTAAAGAGCCACAATACGGTATTTATTGTTTGAATTTCTTAAGAAATGACAAAATTTGAAAGCTGAGAATTAGGTTTATACTAAAAGTAACCTGCTCTGTCTTGTCTGCCGGCGCGTTTCAGGAGATGGTCCTCACTGCAGAACACAAGATCCAGGGGGCGTGGTTGGATCCAGATTCGACTCCTCCCACCTTACATATACCTAAACCTACCCGTCTCCACCCCCTGATCCCTAAACCCACCCATCTCCGCCCCTAAACCTACCAATCTCCACCCCCTAGTTGTGGACCCAACCACGCCCCCTGGATCTTGTGTTCTGCAGTGAGGGGCTACTGCGTTTCATTTGCCTCTTTGCTCAGCGATGTATTTTTCACTGCATGAGAACATGATGTGTGGCGTGAGAGCGGCATGGCTTGTCGAACGTAGCAACAGAAATGGGGGGTGGGTCTTTGCGAAGGGTCAAGGAAAAAAGTCTGAATTCTGAGTTTATATCTCACAATTCTGAGTAAAGTCTGAATTAACTTTTTTTTTTTGTGGTAGAAACAGGAAGCTTATTGTTTGTGCTAACATTGCTCAAAGGTATTTACTGTAAACGTGATCCCATATATGTGTACTATTTTTAACAATCCAACAACTTAAGGGAAGTTCTGAAATGGTATTGACCCCAATCCCTGTATAAATGCAAGGTTGTGCCTTAACTGAGTTTATCTGCTTGAATAACATCCTAGTGGGCTGTCTGCTCCTTAGATAGGCTGCTGCCTTCTAACTCATAAATGGAATCTCATGCATAACTGATTGAATACAGTCTACATAGACAGCAGCTCTTTATCAGTAAAAGTGTGGTCAAATTAGAGAAATTGTGGGCAATAAAAGGTCCATTTTCAATAGTGTAGCAATGTATGAAGCACAGCTCACTCTGAAGTCACTTTCAAATCAAGCAACTTTCTGTTGTTCAACGTGAAGAATCCATCCGACTAACTTGAACCAGTTGCGAAATCTGTGGGAACATCTTTTGCCCTCATGCGAAAGTTCCAGTCGTGTGGATTTCTATTGAAATGACTGGATTTTGCCCACCAATATTTGCATAACAATGATAAATGTGACCAAACTTTAATGCGTGCGATGCCGAGTTTAGGTTTTAGTACAGAGTTCGTATTTATTACAGGTACTTTAGTATTTAGTTCTGAATTTTGAATTATGGTTTCTAAATCACATGATATTGGTACTCAAACGGAAACCTGAAATACTGTATAATAGTAAATAATAGGAGAATGTCAGAAAAGTTGTGCTTTTTGCCTAATAACCTGTTTGTAAGTATATGGTTGATGCAAGAAAGACCATCAGCCTGTTCAAAACCAATCAAGCGCACAGGATCTCAGTCGAAGCGTCTCACAATGGCCATTTGACCAGTTTTACATTGCTTTCTCTGCGTATTTTTATTGTCTTTACTGTTTTTGATACTATGTATTTAGAAAACATGTACAGTTTGGTTTATCGTTGTCGTCCATGACTTCAAGTGTGCTCTGTATTTTGAATAACTTCTTGATATTTGTCTTTGGTAATGACTGAAAATTCAGAATAGCTAGAATTTTGCCTTGAAAAGAAAGGTATTTAACCACTTTTCTATCTAACTTACGTATTAAAGTAGAGATTTTAACTTTTATTTAATGTTGTTTAGCATTATTTGAAATCTGGTCACAGTTCATGTTGCAGCATAGAAACTACCAAGTGTTTTTTTTTTTGTTTTTTTTAGCTGAACTGTGTAATCTTTTGGGAAACCTGTATGAAAACAGTCATTATTTTTACAATTACGCTTGGTTACATTAAATTTGAACCAGTTACTGTTCAACAGCTGTTTAAATTTAAACACTACTTGAAACTAGATAGTCACCACATACATTGAGGAAAGTGCTACCCAAAATCTTTTTTTCTTCTTCTTTCCTGTTTACAAATGCTCTTGTTATTGATGTGCATTTTCGTTGTAAAGTTCTATGATATTTTTTGTGACGCTGGGAATTCTTTTACAGATGCATGAGCGCACAAAGAAATGCGATGTCAACTTTTATGACCATGGTACCATTCACATGTTTTTACTTCGTACTATTGTGACATTCTTCATTTTCCGTCTGTTTTGCTGTTGAATTCTTTTGTAAATTGAGTAACGAGCTGCTGTAGCTGAATCACTGGACTCTCCAAACTGTGCTTCTGAATGTTCAACATACATGCTTTTGTTACACAAAAAGTGTGTATAGCTGATTGTATTCAATATAATGATAGACACCAATCATGCTTCATTTTCTTGAATGTTTGCTGGTACGTACATATGGAATCACCAGGCGATCAGTTCAGTTTGTAAGTTGAAGTGCTTTTGAGTGAATGAAGCTGGATGAACTCCGCCGCATGCTCGGTGCAGTTTTATTGTTTTCAAGCACAAATTAGGTCGGCCTGATGTGTTATTACAGGAACTACTGGTACCACTGTATGCACTGTGAACTGAAATAAATTATAAATGTCCATTCAACTCACCCGTGTTGATTCACTGAATTTTCACTTCAGCTTGAAGTATAAATCATTATTAAAATTCAATAATCGGGTGATCCGTGAAACTATTGTTTTTAATATCGACACAAATCATTTACACAATTTTCTTTACAGAACAACAGCATCAAATTATAACCAATCCATGTTTGCGTTTCTATGCTATCAGTTCATTAAGTGTTGATGTTGATCAAAATCAAATGTACTTGACAAATTCGAGTCTTTTTATTACAGAACTAAAGTGACAACACTTGAAGAAAAACAATCCTGAGACTCTTGCACACTTACGAGAAACTTTTACGCATGTGCACAGTAAAACTAAATATACAGAAATCAGAAATACTCGTGAAATGCCCCAAAAGTGTGCGCATACAAAAAAAAAAATTTCCCTGCAAATGTTACTTTTATAACCATAAATATAAGACCTTGACAAGTCCTGACCAGGCGTGATGCAAAAACTAATCCGTTTCTTCCATGTCCTGAACCACTGAAATCACATTGGCCCGACCTCTATTAAATATGTTCTAATTAGCCGTGATTGTTGAGCAGCATGGTCTTGATTAAAAACGCTTCACAATTCACCAATCAATGAATCCTAAAGCTTTTCGGAGGTGTTCATCACATTGTATTATTTAAATTACACATCCATTATGAGGAAGATTGTTCAACCAAAATGATCATTTATAAGACTATTATCTAGCTCAGGGCTGGGCAGCTTTGTTCCTGGAGGGCCACTGTCCTGCAGAGTCTAGCTCCAATCCTAATCAAACACACCTGCCTGTAGCTTTCTAGTGATCTTGAAGACCTTGATTCGCTTGTTCAGGTGTTTGATTAGGGTTGGAGCTAAACTCTGCAGGACAGTGACCCTACAGGACTGAAGTTGATCAGCCCTGATCTAGAGGATGATAGCTGCCACATGATCAATCAATAAAAAGGTATTTTTCCTTCTTGCAAAACCAATAAGCCACAAACAACATGACTGACTGAGCATTGGTTGATTGGCTCAGATGAGTCTCTCCATTGGTGGAGGCTGCACGATGTTCCACATCTCCACTCTTGAACCTTCCTTCTCCTGTCGACTGGGGCTGTAAGTGCCTCGTGTGGCCTGTCGGTTCAGCGTGATGACCAAAGCTGTGGCCACGCCGAAAAGAACCAACAACAGAACCACGGACACCAGGCTGATGGACAGCAACAGGTCAGACGACACATTCTCTGCATTCAGCTGGAGGAAAGGAAGATGGGGCGGAGTCAGCGATGAGAAGTCAGTAAAAGTAATATTTTAAATATAATAAAGAGTAGATTTAATTTGACGCTTGACAGCATAATAAAGCTGTATACTCTAGATGTTAGTCAACACTAATACGCTTCACGTATGCATATTGAGATTCTCTTGGCTCAGTCAATGTACGCTTGCATGCTGGAAAATATTCATAAGGTGAGCTACTCTAGATTTATTGGTGCAGTCATCTGCTCCCAGCATCCCATTCTGCCCCCTCCATCTGCCACCTCTCTTGACGTTTTCACCACAGTCAAACTTGACGCTTCGATTAAGTTTTTACTAACAAAAACTTTCCACCTTTTATCTTATACAAGAGTTCAATGAGAAGTTAGTATTGACTACATTTTGAACACAACATTACTAGTTATTTAGACAGTCATGCTCTGTTCATGAATGAATCAGTGGTTTTAAATAAATCAGTTGACCAATGATTCAGTGACTCAATTTAGAGCAACTTGTTTTGTTCCTGAAAACAGTGTTTTAAACCAATCGGTTGAATGAATGATTCAGTCACTCACTTTTTGTTTTGTTCCTAAATCAATCAGTGTTTTTGAACAGATCGCCTGAATGAATGATTTAATGAATCACTCATATTGTTTTGTTCCCAAAATAAAAAAAATAAAAAAATATACAGAATCAGATGTTTATGTGCGCACAAGAAACCATTACTTGGCATATAGGACAATGCACACTGATCCATA